CCAAGAGGTTTGACACTCCGAATGAACTAATTTCTTGTCTAATGCTAATGTAGTAGAAACAGTTAAAAGACATTATTGCGAAGCTCCTCATTTTACGAGCACTGTTTTTTACAACTAATATTTTGAACTATTCAACTATTCACCACCAAACCTACTGATTGATATTAGGAAAATGGGCTTGTTTTTACAAGTACGATTTATGTAGATTTTCAAAGTACGTCTCCAAGTACGTACGTTTTAAATCTAGTTATTCGATCTGAAACTAAAAGAAAATTCGTTTAGGAATTACTTCTTACAGTGCCGTCATTTTTCAAAGTATATGTATTCTTCAAAAGAAATTTTCCAAAAATAGCAAAAGGCACGATAGAACAGTCATAAAGCAAGATTAACAGTCACAAAGAACTTTACAAGATCAAAAATGGCTTTCTCTGTTGCATGATTAAATTGGCAATAAATATATGCTGTTTTATCTCGACTCCTTCGCTGCAAATTCATCACCACACTCTTGCAACCTTGCAATCATATTGACAGCATTCAAAATCCATAAAGAGCAGCCACAACTTCGTTATCAAATCTTCTGATCGTCGAAGAAAAGTGGCGGCGGGGGGGGGACAACTGCTGGGTGGTTTCACCCTACTCACCGGTGGCTTGCCACCTTCAGATAGAAGAGCGTCTCTGATCTTGCCGCGGATTGAGTATGGTTGTTTAATCCATGAATCTGAACTATGTAAATAATTAAATAGACATGTATTTCAATAAACAAGTATTTAAATTTAAAGTTTAATCCAAAACAGATCCATAAATCCGTTTGGAAATCATCCTACTACATTGAAATTTCGAATAGAAGAGGTTTATTTTAATTAGATTCTGTTGTATTAGGTTCGTATTTCCATCATCCAACCTGTCCTCGTTTTGGCAGCAGCACCAACGCAGGTCTAAGCTCATCCTGTCATCGTCTTGCCCATTTTTTGGTGAATGATTGTTCAGCAGTCCCCTCGGAGTGCTAAACACAGTGAACTATTGCCGACGTCTTGCCACCCTCTATCCGGTTTAACAGATTCAGTGACGTTGAGTACTTTATGTATTGCTGGTCACTAGGCCGTTACCATTGCGGGAGACCGTGCCATAGCGTATGAGGTTTACCAACCGCTAAATCTTGGCTCTTTAAGAGCAGTAGATTATTCAGACAGATAAATGACGCAAGGTACAGCCAACATTCCAGCTGCTCAAATATTGTTACGCCGTGTTTAGCTTGAATTCCCTTCCCCGTCCTCTGATAGAGCAGGTGCAAGATTGAGCCTGATTACATCATGGAATCTGGTAGTGGATAAGCTAAAGTGCTTTCTACCTGTTCTGTCCTACGAATTCCTATTTTTTAATACAGTTATTATCCTTATAAGATATTGTTCAGCACAGAATAGTATTAGGAGATAGTATTAAATTTTCATATATATTGCATTAGATAATCGTGTTTAGAAATACATAAGAACTTAAGAATAATTTTAAATGTTTCATTGCTACAATCTAGTCTGAGCCAAAATTGAGCCGATTATTTTTCAGTTAATAGGTGCTTCGTTATCCGGATTATTACTTATGGAAGAACTGTTGAGATTATTAATGTCGGCATGAAGTCAAGTCCCAAATGAAAGTACTTCAAACATATTCGTACTTAAAGTTGAGTTACTCATTTGGACAAGCCACTAAA